TATCTGTATAAATGCAATATTCGCATTCTATGCAAGTATTACTTTAGGGACATCAATAAACATATTGGTGTTGGTATGACAAGGCACTGTTGAGTCTACTCTGCAAATTATTTGTTGTAAAGTGGCTGTACTTGCTTATTCCCTTTTATCTTTAGTCCATATGGACAATTACGTGAGTCCATAGATCAGTTGTCTTTCTTAATCTAAAGACTCTGGTAACTGCTACTTCTCTTTGAACTATACTCTGTGGGAGCAGACCCGAAGTGACCTGCTGGGTAGCCGTCGAGAAGCTTTTATAGCCTTTACAGATACGTAGTATGTGGATCGCAATAAAGTCTTAATTTGCGCCATCAGACGACTTTTCCGTGCTAAAGTTCTTTCTAAACAGCTCTCTGGCAATATCGTTAAAAAATTGTTGCTTAAAGTAGTTTGCCTTTGTTGCTTTGATATAAGAGAATTGGGAAAGTTCATCGGTAGTAAATCCCAGGTTAAATCATTGTTTACTCTGATGTCCCACTGGGATTTAGGCTTAGTACGCGTTTGGCCGAGCGGTCATGTCTAATACGAAGGATCTTTTCCTTTCCTGCCAATATGGACCTTTTATACTTGTATTTGCGGTTTCACTGAATGAACCATGTTAGATATTCTTTTGTGTTGTTCTCTATGGCTTTCCTGAATCAGCCTTTAATTAAGATAAAAAATAAATCGTGGGCTAGGGAGCAGATCTATATTTTCACCCTTATCAAATACATCGAATGCTGAATTGGCTACGATGTTCCAAAGTAGTAAAGTATCCAAGAAGTATATTCTAAACAGGCATTTACTTCGGAGATCTCCTTAACGAAAAGTTGGCCGTCCTTTAGAATCTGAATGCTTCTGTTGTCTAAATAGATGGCGAAGAGCTTGAATACCTATTGCTGGATAGTTGATTTATATCCGGCTGAATAGAGCATTTGGCCACAACCACGCTGTCTGCCTCAAGGAATGCCTTGCATTTACGTCACACAGAAACTCTCATACAGAACTAACCCTTTGCCGGGATTTGAATCGAGTTGAACTAATAAAAAATTTCAAACATTTTTATTCATTAAATGTAGTAATATTTTGCAGAACCATAAATGAAATCTTTTTTTATATTTATAGAGTTAATTTAATTATTTCTCTGGTGTCTTATAGCTCCATCAAGTAAGTAGATGGATCGTCTTAAATTAATTTAAGAAATTTAAAAAAGTAAACAATTATTCTTTCCAATGGGCAGATTTGATTTGATTTCGATGGTTTTGTTATATAATTACCTAGACCTGCTCATAATTAAACACAGCAAAATTAAATTATATGATAAAAGGAGGAATTTCTAGTTTAATACTATTAAAACTAATTAATTGGAACCCTAATATCTGTAGAAAAGTAATAGGAAGCACTTTTTATAGCCAAATAATCAGAATAAAAATTATATGTACTGAAATAGAAGATTTAAAGGAAGAAATAATAAAGCTAATTATTGTTCAAGTTAATAACCAAGTCCAAACACAATTTATTAATTTGTATATTAAAAAGACAGGCATTAACTTTTCTTTATAATTTTTTGACTCTTTATAGTATGGTAACATTACCTTAAACCTTAACTGGAGTGTAAAGAAGGATTTTGAAGAATTAAGGGATTATCTTGTAAATATTCTAAAAATTAATTTTTAAATATGTATGTATAATCAATCCTGGATTCTTTCCTTTTACTAATGAAGAGCCAACTCTTTTCAAGTCTCAATTATAGCCCGAATTGATTGAAGATTTTTATCTTTTTCTAATTTTCTTTACTTTTGGCCAGTATTTAGTGACGTTTTAATTAAACCACTTGAAATCCAGTTTTAATAAATTTAGAATATTACAGTAAATTTCTTTCTTTAAATATAACATTTAAAAAAGTTTTTCAAAATCAAAATTAAATTTTACTTTAAAATAATTTTATTAATACATTTTCCCCAAAACATTTCAATTTTTACATCCTAAATATTTTACATTCCTTAACAATTTGCAGCTTTTTTCACATAACGTTACAGTTTGCATTTTACAATTTTTTTACACATTTTCACCACAGAACACACATTTTACATTACTTAAAAATTTACAGAATATATATTTTTTTTAAAATTGATCAGAGATAGCAGCTTTACACTCAACTTCACCTTACATTAACGTCCTCTATTTAAAGTTTGCAGAACACAATACTTACATCACTTAGTTTGGCAGTGCTTCTCCACCCCCCCCTTACCAACTAGTTTGTTTTTGGGTTAAAAGTTAAATTAAAATTTACTATTTACTTGCCTTTTTAGTATTATTTAAGTATAATTTACGTATTGTTTCTTATAGATAATATCTAGTTTCTTTTTGATTTATATGCATATTTCGTGTAGGGGAAGTTTCTGTAGGCAAGAGTTTCTAAACAACTTTGGTTTTCTAAAAATTTGTTTTCTACTCTTATTTAATTTTTTTATTTTTTAATTTTAATTCTTGTCTTTTAATTTATAATTTTTCATAATGCGACTTGTTTAAATTTCTTTTTAGTAAAATTCACCACATTTGGTTTTCTTTTGGTTTTGACTTTTATTCTTGCCTACATGGATGACGAAACACGAATTGAATGATTGAAGAGTTAAGTTTGGAGGCAACTTCCGCTTGATAAGTCTGTCTCCTGCCAGCTCAACAATCATTCACTTATGCATTTTTCTAATTAAGTTTTTTAGGATTAAATAATTTTTGGAATTTTATATTTATTCGTGGATTTTGATACATGCACTTGATTTACATATGCTCTCAGAATTTAAATGATATTGTAGATTAGTTCGCAACAATAATTTATTTGCTTGCATTAAATTTCATTTAAATTTAAATTTGCTTTCAATTGTCTTTTTACGAATAGAGAATGTTTGTTAAATTCAAATTAGTACTTTATAAGGTATTTCTCTAGCCTTCTTAGCATGCTTTCGTAGTGTAGTGGTCTGCTCGCTGGGTGCGTATTTCAGAGGTCCGTGGTTCGATTCCCGGTGAGGGCGTTGCTCATTTTTCATCTCTTCCTGCTTCCAAATAACCTAATGACTCTACAGTGGCGTCCGAATTAAATGGGTAGTGGATGATGATTCTCCACACCCAGGATTTGGCGATTAGGTCCCCCCCAAAAAACCCCAATCATCCTTTAAGAGAGGGAGTATATAAGGTATTTCTCCCACCTTCTTAGTATGCCTTCGTAGTGTAGTGGTTTGCAAGAGGCGGGAGCGTATTCCAGAGGTCCATGGTTCGATTCCCGCCGAGGACATTGCTCATTTTTCATCTCTCCTGCTTCCAAAAAATACCTAATGTCTCTGCAACTTAATGGTAAATTTCCGTTCTCTGTGAATAAATACTCTTATTTGGCAGATCTACAGGAACAGATGCATGGGTTGTCTTTCTCCTCCATTCTTTAAGGCAGTTAAAAGAGAAAGATTAAGGGGGGGGGAACTGTGGTTGAAAGCTTTAGATTACTGTCTAACAATTCAAAGAAGAATTCATCATTAAAAAATTAAAAAAAAAATTAAATGTAAAATTGCTTACAAATTTTTCGTGCTTTTCTCAAAATTAAATTTACTGCTGGCAGCTGATGAAAATAAATCTTTGCCCAGAAGGGCTATTAATTTCGTTTTGGCATTTTGCGTTAGTTCACTATAAATGTCGGTTCAAGTTTCAAATTGTTGCCACCAAATATTAGAACCCTGTGTTATAATTAAAGAAATTAAATAATGAAGAATCTGCATAAGTGTATGTATTTTTCTCGCATTGTGATAAAACAACGGTACATAGAGCCATCAAATTTTGAATAACGTACGTCTAGACCAGAATATGGGCACCTGGAAGCACGAATTTGGAATTTGAAATTTGTTTTATTGTTGATTTAATATTTTGTAACATTTTAACGAATATTTTATTAACAAAATCAACGATTTCAAAGCGAGCAATGGCAAGACTGTACGAAAAAAAAATTTATCTCCAGCGCGCGAGACTGTGTATCGGAAATTCTAAAGATATGCTCATTTTAAAAGTGTTTTGCGATATTGCTATTGAATTGAAGTTTGGGGTTTAAGTGCGGAGAACATGATATTTAATAAATAAAGGTAACACACAGAATGTCCCCCCCCCCAAAAAAATCGCCCTTTTAGGTGTAATATAAAATCTGAAATCATACAGATTTTTTGTTTGTTTGTTTTATTAATTAAAATTAAAATTTATTTCAAAATAATTATCAGTTTTAAAATATCCGTTTATTTCTACCCCCTTTTATTTCTCCCGTAAAATGATATAAACCTCAAAAAGCCGAATTACTGTTTGAATACAATTAAACAGAGAGAGAGAGAAAAAAAAAGAGAGGGTTTCAGTGTATATGTTATTGACAAAATTTCTTCACAACCTTTAGATATTATTTTGAATGTAGACGGTAGTGTATGCAAGAAGAATAACAAATTTTGTACTTGACAAGTTATTGGATGCTAGATGTCTGTTTTGTTTATGACACGCATGGTATACAATAATACTTGTAGCAAAATACTGTCAAAAGGTCTAGACATAGTAAACTTTTTAAAAAAATTAACTTGCATTGTATTGAGAATTGTATTTTTATAAAAGCGAAGATAAATGAAAGATCTTATGCATCCTTGTTTTGCAACACCTTCAATTTCTGTCAAACGCGATTTTATCATAGAATGAATACAATGAACAGAGGCATAGGTAAACAATTTTTCTTAGTTTCCAGTTAATATCGCGTTTTCACTGTCAATTAGCTGAGTTCTTGATAAAAGATTTTACTGAATTTATTCAATTTTAAGAAAGAACAATCATATAACTGTTTATTTTCGTTTTAATTGACATCTCTTGCCAAAATAAGCGATAGTGCAAGAAAAATGGCAACCCGTTACTGACAAGAATTTCGTTTCTAAAATAAAGCGAGCGGTAGACCGGTTGAATGAAACATAACTAATCTCGTGAATCGTATAGATAGCACGTGTCACAGGCGCTGAGAGTTGAAAGTATTCTCTTTTTACATAAACTGTTTTTACTTAAATTTTAAACATATTTATAAAATGGCGCGGACAGTTATTAAATTTTGGTTATTCACAGTTTTGTTTTTGTCCACATCTGGAATATTTTCTGGAAAAGTGCCGACAGTTTATGATGTATTACAATTAGTCTATCAAGTCTGTTGTAAGTAATATTTAATTTTTCTTTATTCTCTATTAATTATATCCTGTTCTGTAATAATGCTAAAAAGCTTTGAAAAATGTTAGACTATTGAATTCTTAGTAACTACTAATTTTGTGCTTTAACTTTTTACGTATTTTGGAAGGTATCTTTTACTTTTTAGGCACAATGAACAGTTTTCTAATTTATAAATGGGATGACTTTTTTTTTTTTTAAATGAAAAAAAATTATAATCAACTTTTGTATTATATTTAAAGGTATTACGATAAAAGTGCTCATCGAATCATCATTTAAAATATATTTATTGATGGAATACATTCTGCTATTTATAAGTGGTGCATAATGTGTTCTAAATGTAATAATATAAGCTTAATTTACATACAACATTGTAAGAACAAACGGTATTTTGAAGTTCCGATAAATGGCTAATGTTAAATGTAAAAAAGGAGACTTTTAAAAACAAATTGCAGTAACAAATTGCATTATGGAAATTTCACATACTTGTTTACTCGTGTATCGCTATTTTTTAAAAAATTTTAAATGCATGAAAATTAAAAACTAAAACCATATAAAATGTAACTGCTGCTCTTAAGCACATGAAGCTAAATCTTTATCCCCGAATAACATAAAAACTCAATTAGTTTTAGTTTTAGTTTCAAGTTCTTGCATTTGGTTCCAGATTTCTTTCTTGAACTCTAAAGGGTATACAAAGTAATATGCCGAAATATATATTATCGTTTAAGCAATGTATTATATATATATAAAACCGAAAGATTTCAAATTTTAAATTAGTTCCAAAAGGACTTTTTTTAACGTTTTGCGTGTTACCTTTATTTATTAAATATCATGTTCTTTGCATTTAAACCATAAAATTCAGTTCAACAGCAATGTCGCAAAATAATTTTAAAATGAGCATATCTTTAGAATTTCCGATACACAGTTCCGCGCGCTGGAGGTAAAATGGTTTTTTCCCCTGTAGAGTGTTGCCATTGCTCGCTTTTAAATCGTTGAGTTTTACAAAATATCAAATCGATAATAAAACAAATTTCAAATTTGGTCTTCCAGATGCTCATATTCGCAGTAGGATTACATCATTCAAAATTGGATGGCTCTAGGTACCTTTGTTTTATCACAATGCGAGAAACGTACATATATTTATGCAGATTCTTCATTATTTAATTTCTTCAAATATAATACAGGGCTATAGTATTTGGTGGCAACGATTTGAAAAGTGATACAGCCTTTTAAATTTTTCAACGCAAAATCGTAAAACGTAAAAATAACAGTCCTTCAGGGACAAAGCCCCTTTGGACTAAAAAGAATAGGAAAAAGAAAAAGCAGAAGTATTATAAAAAAAAGGCTTGCAATCTGTATATTAAATCCAAATATGTTAGTACTGGAAGGAAATTAAGAAATTTTGCGCAGAAACCTAATTTATTCATGACACTTGTAAGAATAAAAAGATAAAAAGAATCTGAAAGCTTTCAGCTTTCATATTACGCCCAAAGGTGCGTTTTTAAAATTTAGACATACATATACGTTTCGAGAGCATTTGGGCTAAAAATATTTAAAAACAGCATATCTTTAGAACTGCCGATAGATAGTCTCGCGCACTGGAGATAAAAAGTTTTATTCCGTACAGTGTTGCCACTGCTCGCTTTGAAAGTTTTTTTAATCAAAGATTCGTTAAAGTTTTATAAAATATGAAATAGATTATAAAACAAATTCTAAATTCTAAATTTGGGCTTGCAGGTGCTCATATTCGGATGGAGGACTACGTTATTCAAAATTTTATGGCTCTAGATACCTTTGTTTTTTCAGAATGCGAGAAACAAACATACATTCACGCAGATTCTTAGTTATTTTATTTATTTAAATATAACACAAGATGATATCATTTGGTGGCAACAATTTGAAAAGTGATTCAGAGCTTTTAGTGGTTCGATGCAAAATGCCGTTTCGAGACTAATAGCCCTTCTGGGCTAACGCCACTTTGAGCAAAAAATAGCAGTTGTTGCATATTGTTGTTAGCATGTTCATATAAAATGAATTCTGTGGGATTTTAATTAAGTAATTATAAATTTAACACAGAGTTAGATTTTTCCAATCTTTATTCTTCTTTTGTTTTTCTAACAGCCACGGTTGCATCAAAACAGTTTTTTTTCACACTAAATAGTTTCTTACTGTTGCCATTCTGCGGACATAAATGTTTAAATGCAAGCTTATAATTACTTCATTCTTCACTATTATTCAAGAGACTGATTTTATGACGCTGAGCAACAAATTTTAATAACATCGATTAAAAAGATCTTTTTATGCGTCGTCGATTGCAAACACATTTTTTTTTTTTTTTTTTTTTGTTGAACACGATTTTTACATCAGCTTAAACGAAAAACACCTTTTTAAGCTGTTAATAAATAAATAAATAATTATACTTATCGAATACTTTTGGATAATCGTATTACATAAATTCATTTTACCGAGTATAATCAATACTAAATTTTAATACATTTCATCAAGATGAAACATTCATTTCGACGTATCAAAAATTTCACTTTATCAAAGTTTTCCTGTTTTAAAAAAATATTTGCGAACGCTGAGCGCATTAATATATAAGCTTACACAACATATAAAGAGACATCAGGATCCTGCTATAAAACGTAACAGTATCCACTGAGTATATGCTTAGATCAGATTAAAAATAATGCGGGTTACAAAGATGAATATGATGCTAAATTTATGCTCTGTTTTCATGCTAAAAGTTATTCCGGATTTCCCTCTTATGCATTTCTTTTATAGCGAACACATCATATGAGGTAAATTCAGTTAGTTGGAAGTTTCTTGCATGTGATAGAACTTTTCCGCGAACTTCCTTGAATAGATTGCTTTAAAATTTGTGTCTCTAAAATAATCTTTTGTAAAAAGATATTTTGATAAGCGAAACTACAGACTGAGAGAAAGGGAGTTTAATTGTATTACACAGTAAAATTACACTGTTAAAAGTCTAAACAAATCACGTGAGTCATTTATATATATATATATATATATATATATCCCGTTCATCAGGATTCGAATCCGCGTCGAACTACCAGATTTTTAAACTGTGGGTGTGGTAAATAAAAGAAACATGTTTACACATTTCTGAACGATTTTGATTAATGTTTAAAATATAAAGTATATTTTTTACATGTTCGATTTGATACCTTTCTTTCTGGAAGTGCATCGTGATTTTCATGACAGATTGACTTTTCGTAAAATTTCCAGGGCACTGATTTTCTTTCCTCTTCCACTACTATCCAAAGCCCATCTCAATGGTGATGGGTTTTGCTTTTAGAAAGAGCTTTTTTCAAGAGACCAAAAACACAATGGTTCATAGGTGAACTATCAGGGGACTTTGCGGGAATACGTTGAAAAGGTATACATGCAGTACCTATAGCAGTCTCCAGTTTTTCAAGGAATGCAGTGGTACTTTCCGAAGTATGACTCCTTACTTTATCTCGATGCAGTTTCACTCTTTGAAGGCCATTAGGATAAAGAAATGGCATTTCTTCATTAAATATCGGACGTAAAATTTTCTCTCGATAGTACGTTGAGTTGATTTTAACATTTTATCTTCACATTTTCTACTGTTAAGACAATCTGCGACAATCATAAACACGTTAATGAAACTTTCTTTGCATCGACGGAATCACGTTTGCACCCTTTTTTTTTTCTTCGTTTCGATAATGAATAGAAATTAATTAAAATGTTGATTTGTTGCAGTTATTTAGGTAAACCCGTGTTTCATCAAGGGTCAAAATGTATTTCCATTTATCTCCTGTTAAATAGTTTTATACAGAGTTCTACAATATGTTATTTAGCATTTTTAAGTTGTTAAATCTTGGCTTATTATTTTATTTATTGTTGCTAAAGATGTATTTAAAGACTTTGCAACTGATTTCTGCACCTTCGGGTTTTCTCTTGTTAATAATCATTTAACTTCAGAAACATTAGAAAGAGCACATACCTTTTCCGAGTATTCGTGTGGAGTCTTCTTTCCATGTAGAAGTAATGATTCACGGTTTTTTCCTTTCCGATTAATAACATTATTTTGAAGTTAGAAATTTTAATACTATGTATTTCACAACCATTTTCGAATTATGGAATTGGAATATTTTTTGTAGGAAAACCCATAAACATCTTTCAATCCGAGCTCATTTACATGCGGTATTTTGAAAAGACGAATAAATTTAAAAGTAGCAGACGATATTTCTTATTTCAAATAATTACCTGTTGCCAGAAATTTTATTCCAAAACATATATCTTTCTTTCTTTCTTTTTCTTTTCTTTTTTTCTTTTTTTTTTAATTCTGTATTGAAAAGAAAATTTTTAAATTCTGTATTGAAAATATTAAATTCTGCATTCTGTATTTAAAAATGTGTACATACCATTGTAGATTGTAAGGAACATTATATGTTTCTTTTTCCTTTATGTTTTTAAATTTTGTTGTAACTTCTTAACATTTTGACATCAGAAATGAATTTTTTTTGTAACTGAGTTCTAATGTTATTCAAAAGTTTAAAAAATTTAGTTTTATGTGTTGAGAACAACACTAGATATAATTTTCATTTAAGAAGAAAAGCGAGCTAATAGTACAATTTAACAAAGGTGCTTTTTGTATTTGCTTCTTTTTCTTTGAAATGTAGGAATGTAATGTGAATTTTTCATATTGCAGTTTAATATTTTTGTTGCTGTTGCGTTGCTTTTTGATTTTAGAACGTTTCTATTCTGCACGCTTTCCTGTGTCGGATTGCTGCAAAGGAAATTTTGTTTGAGAATTAATTCTGAAATAGCGCTTCATACTGAAAAAAAAAAAAAAAAAAAAAAAAAAAAAAAAAAAAAAAAAAAAATTAATAGGAAAAGTAGAATTAATAGAATTAATAGAAAAGTAGAAAATAGAATTAATAGAAAAAGTAGAAAAAAATATTGCTTCCCTTAGACCCCACCAGTACCTGAGTGGCCGA